GTATCACGGATTGAAGCAAACTTGAAGCCCAGTTCAAGGAGATGTTGGTTGGTGATGGGCAATTAAATCGCTGAGTCGTTGAAATTCTGCATTGACGTGGAAATAAACGAAAGGAAATTGATATTTTTTCCTGGAAGAAGAACCTCAGTTGAGTTCTCCTTCCGGTCCAGTTTTATTCCTGACTTTCCTCTCGTCGAATCAAAACGTGAGGACGATTTCGTAGCTTATATTTCTCGGCGTAGAATATTCCTTTCGGCGACTGGTGTAGGTTGTTGAACTTGCTTTCTCCCTGCGAGCTGTCTCGGCGGAGGATTTTCCTCCCGAGAATTAGCCTTCCGTGAAGATGACCTCTCGGAATTACTGGCGCAGGTTTTTGGTGGTGATCTCATCTGGTGCTCAGGGTCTTTTTATTGCCGCCAGGTCGCCGGGTGGAACGAATTTCCGCCCCCTTTCGCGGCATAACCCCGTCTTAATGAACAGACCCTTTTCCGCCATTTTCATTTTTCAGCTGTTGGTTTTTTATGGCTCACGACGTCTCATATTCGCTGTGAAATCGGGTTGCTGCTGAAAGATGTAGTATGGTACTGTACCACAGGTTTTTATGAGACGCGTGGGGGGATTCTTTCGCAACATTTACGAGGCGTGCTTTTGATACATGCGCTATTATGCAACTTTTTGACGCTAGGCTCTGTTGCAGCTGTTGTGGGTACAATTTCATTTCCATGGCATTCGGTCCCGAATTGTGAACATGAGGCGAAAACGCTTGAAAAGGTGTTAAAAAATCGTGCCCCAAGTCTATAAAACTTGAAAATGTTGACAGAGATAAGTGTGAACCGAAAAGATCAAGTCTTCGAGGCTCGAACTGCATTCGTTTTGAGGAATTGCCTGAAAATTTTGAATTCGTTTTTTTTTTTTTTTTATGTGGAACTTCGACTTTAGCGTCGTCCAACCACTCTATCCGTTGAATGTAATACTGTATATGACGAGGTTGACCCCATATAATTCCCAATACAGTGAAACCAGAGTTTAACGCGGAAAATCGTGGCAAAATGTTATGCAACACCGATATCAGAGAAAGTACGATCACGGATTCCGGACATTCAAGGGTCCTACGGAGTACACATTTATAGTTTTGTTCGAGATTTAAAAAAAATCATGTTCGGCAATATCTGTGCTGGTAGACTCTCTCTCTCTGAAACAAACTTCGAAGAATCAGAAAAATATGGTCGCGCAATGAATTTCATTCTAGAAAAGCTCTATAGGATGGGTAGAGACCCCTATTCGCCCAATTAAAAATCGTTATATGTACTCAGAAAATACGTTGTTGAGAGTGTCGGACTTGTAGTTGAGAAACTGTGCTCCCCGGATCCTAGAGGGGTCTTCGTTAACTTCACGAGGGCAAGAAAAATTATGAAGATAATTCAGATTGGGCTCCAGATAAATATCTGCAAAAAATTGACGAGAACTCCTGTGTGTAATTCGAGTGGGAAATGCTGTACGCTGAATATTATTTGCATAACCCGCACATAACCTGGGTCGAACATGCCCTGTCACCGAATTGATACCAACAGGGGCGCCAGCAAAGAAGAAAAAAAAAGAACTCGTGAAAAGGGCTCCTAGGGTATTCAGAAAGATTGAGAAACGTCTGCTCTGTGATTTCCGAGCCGTGTAGCGTTTCTCCGTCGCGGAAATGGACGGGGACAACGTCATTGAATAGATGTAAACTCGGGCGATGAAACGTTCACTGCCACCGGTATTTCGTAATTTTTCGCGGCTTCCTGGCTTTGTGCCGTGACTAAGTGTGCTGGAGATTCGTTGCGCGATGAAGATTCCCGTACGTGTATGAAGTAGCGGGGCTGTGTCCCGTTCGCGTCCGCAGCTCGGCTGTCGTGTCTGTTCTCCCATCTGAGACGATTTTTTGGTTGTCTGATGTGAATCGGTGCTGTTCCGTTTGCCGACTACCCATTGCATTGTGCCTGCCTTTTCGGCAGGCAACCCTCGATTTAATGGTCCCAATTGAGTGCCACAAATTTCCCCCTGTTGTATTTTCAAGGGAAACCACCCAATTCATTGCCAATGAAGTCGCGTAGTGTCGCGAAAATTGTTTTGTCCCTGATTGAAAAAAAAAAAAACTCAATCAAAGGGAAACTAGAGGTTTTTTTTCTAGGCATACCATTGGGTTATTATTGTGGAACACGTGTCCGTGTGCAGGATACTTTTGAAAATTTTGTTTCTGAACTTGTGTGTCATTGGGAGGCATTATTCGGATGTCCCACAGTGGAGAGCATTTTCATTGCTGGGATAGCTTCTTCAAGAGATTGAAAGAACCGTTTTACTTGATCTTGGAATTGTGTGCTTTCATTGAACAGTTGATACAACTTCGAGGAACAGCACTGCTCTTTACTTGACACCCTGTGTGCAAAAATGTAGTACGTTTTGTATTATGAAGTAATTTATAATTAAATACCATATTAAACACCGTATTTGAACCTCAAATTATCTCTTGTGACGTTCTCTCCTATAAAACAGACTCAGTGGTCTAGCCGTTCTGCAAACAAGCTTATTTTCCATACTTCGAAAGTCATCAACTAAACCTTCCTCTTATATAATACCCCCGAACTTGGTGCCATCCAGCTTAGTGCCACGAAATGTCCCAGGACAAATGATGGCATTAAATCGAGGTTTGACTTTACTGTGTTCTAAGTTTCGAGGAAAGCAGGTCAAGGATACGGCAGCTCCCACGTGTTACTGAGATTTACCGAACTTGACCCCGTGTATTTCATAAATCTTGTGACTGAATTTTATCTAATTATCACTGTCCCATCAGCTTGAAATGTTACATGCACGTGCGCCAGCACGAGGCGGGATATCGCAATAAATTGTAGTTGATAAATTACCTAAATATTACCGCGCTGTTTTATTTTTAGTCGCAAAAGAAGCGCGTGAGGCCAGTATGAAATATTGAATCTCCTTCCGCATAAGTTTGCCCCATGTTTATTATGCCTTTTTTTGTCTTTAGCGCAGTTCTTACAAGTCTTGTCCATCGATTTAAATAAGCGTAAATTTAGATATTCAGAAAGGCTCTCACCTCCGTTTTCAGCGTAAATATGACGTGCTGTATATGTAAATAAGCCACAGATCAAATTTTAGATGCTGTACTCCCTTGAAGCCCGAAAGATATTTTCACGGAGACGTAATTGAGCTCCAGCTTTGTGTGAGACTAATGCTCTTTTTTCTGAGAATGCCGAAGAAAAAATGGATAATTTCATTCATTACTCAGCTCATCAGCATTAATGGTTTGTTGTAGTTGAACAACTCGAAAGTCAGGCACAAATTTCCGAATTTACTCAAATGATGAAGATATCCTGAAAGAAATTCCTCGTAATTGTCATTGTTGGTTAAAGAAACGCTGTATTCACCACCATGATGAAGTTCCGAACAGTCCTGCGAATTGTTTTCTGGCTTTTGAATATTTGACCATGCCTAACATCTGCTGTCGCTCGCGTTGAAAAACAAGACAAGATAACGTTGACCTGGTCCTAGGTTAATGTACCGGCAACGGTTTGGTGACAGTCGTTTTTCGCTAGGTGACAAAGTAGAACAGCACCGCGGAAATGTTTTGACGTTTGGCACTCCGTTGAGCATTTCCCGAGCGACTTGCCGACGAACCGTAACAGCACGAACCCTGTTTTTTCCCTTCCGAGTTTCGTGACATCAAAGTCCCATCGTTGCGCGTGTTGGCGTTATTCTGCGGTCTGTTCATGCATATATCTCTGCTGTGAGTTACTTTAAATCGATTTTCGTATTATGGAGTAGTGGAAGTGTGATGAAAGAATGAGTTACGCTGATTTCATGTGTGTGGAAGAATACGATTTCCGGGATGTACAAGGGTTGTCCCAGTTGGTTGCGGCCTCTGATATTTTTAGAGAAGGTGTGATTGAAAAAAAAAAACCTGGACTTAGCCCATGATGTTTCACGGTTCTGGGATTTTTCAGATTTTTACAACTTTTATTTTCTGCGTGCTGATAATTGAAAACTTTCCAGTGACAACCAGAGTTCTCCACTAATGTCACGAAAAAGTGTGTCAGGCTAGCAAAGAAAAAAGAAAAAATTTTTCCAAGCAGTATCTAAAATTTAGAAAAGACAATGGGTAAAACGAAAAAAAAAATGAATATAACATTCTGGAGGAGTTTCACCTGGAATTCTCAACCTGCTGTTCTGATTCTGTATCTAGATTTCATTTTTTTCTATTCGAATCGCTGTATGATCTTCATGGTCGCCAATGCCTTAGTTCAATTCTTGTTTTTTCCTTTTTTAATTCTTTTTTCGAATCCTGATTCTTTGAGTACGTGGAATTTTTGCATGACTTTCAGTCCGGCACTTCTTTATTCGAAAATTCGTTCACAGGTGACTGGGACTCGAATAATTGTCGAGAGAATTCAGTGTTTCAAGTTGACGAGTTTCGTTTGCTTCTTTTCTCCGCTAGGGGTACCTTTCCTAGTTTTCAAGGCTGTATGAAATTAAGCTTATTGAAGTATAATTTGTCCACCACCGGTAACAGTTTCTTGATACGTGTGCTTCTTCGCTCGGGATTTTTATTAGAGACGCTCAAACTCAATCCAACAGAAGTATAAGTTACTAATTATTCAAGTGTGGGCGTTGGGTCGCCTGGACGGAACGGCATCCGAATTTTCTGAAGATCAATGATCTATTCTTGTTTAAGATGAAATTAGCCTGTACAGTATTGTGATAGGGTCACAGGGAAAAATTATACACCATACTTCACTTGTCTCCCACGCCCTATCAAATTTTTCTTGGGACCTAATCGAAGATCCTGTGACAGAAATCCTTGAAGGATCACTTCGTATCCGGCTACATTAATTTCTATTGACCAACAAGGGCTCGCGTACTACGTTACGAAGAATTCGGGCCTCTCAATAGCTGTCTAGCTATTTCGTGATTTTAGTATTTTGTTTTCCTTATGACAAGTGCGAGAATTTAATTTGGTATTCGGCTTGTTCACAGGATGGTGACGTCAGGTCCAGAACCTTCGGCACGTAGTTTGCCGGTGCTGAATAGTAGCTTCTCGACTGGGAGGTCCTCGTTAAACACGAACCGGAACTCGTGTCCAAATGTTCCGTCGTCGAGGACGATCGTTAAACCGCCGACCCCGGTAAGTAAATTGCAGAAATGTCCTCCTTATTGGGTTGAATATCGTCATGGTGGTTCTTGCACGGGTTTCGCAGATGTTCACATTGCCAGAAAACCAAGAATACCCAGCGCAACTTGACTTGTCGCTGGCGAATGTGATTGGCCATGACCTGGCTTACTGCCGTACTAAACTGCTAAGCCTGCGACGCATGATTGAGCAGGTTTGATAATTATCGTTATTTTGTCACGATTGTTCGAGAGGTGCATGATAACAGTGACCAAGACAAGTGATGCATTCAAAATCGAATCAATTTCTTTGTTCATTTTCTCAGTTCCCGACGGTCGATCCTTTCGAAAGCGACACCAACCAGGTGAGGTTATTGCGTAACACTTCCGACTGGCAAAGTTTTATAGTGAAATTTCGCCAGCAGGGGAATGTTTATTGGAGTAACGTGATGCGCATGGGCGATAATGCTTTCCCATCAGCTGTGATCGACAATGGAACCGACAGGTCGACTCAGGCAGCACCCATGGCGAACAACGACGTGCAAGCTTTGCAAGAAGAAAATTTGCGTCTTAAAAGGCAGCTAGCTGATATGAATCGCCAAGTGAGTGTGCAATCGTTGAGTACGAACGGAACCGACAATCTGTGGACTATTGAGTCTAGTTATAGGAAATGAGCACCCTGACGCGATCATGAAAATTCTCGAGTTCGAAGCTTCGATCTGAGTTTTTTTTTCCCCTTCCCAGTCTGCCAAACGTGAAAATTTTTGCATCTCATTTGATGCTGCTTCGAATTGTATGTGCTGTGCAAGACCATGTAATTGAAGCTCACGGAAGATAATCCCCTTTCTTCCAGGATCGTGCGGAAGCATTATGCAACCTTGAGTTCCACCTTCAGGATCCGTCGTGACTTGATTAGTCTTTAATGATGGGAAATGAATAATACTGTACAGTTAATATTCCTATTTCAGACTTCTTCATGCGGAAACACCGGAGTCCATTTCACTTGAGAATTATTACTCTTGATACTAATCGATTCAAAATCCCAGCTTTCGAGAACATCGTTTTCATCGTTAAACAATGACATCAGTGCTCCGAGAAATCCCAAATTCAGATCTCTCGTGAAATATGAAATATGCGTGAAAAATGAGAAGTGGAGTTCACCGATGATGAAAGAGACCCCTTATTCTCACCTGCAGAATAATTTCCAGCGAGAGCAGCTGGAGGAAAAGGACCGAAGAATTCTCAATTTGATCAGCCAAATGAGCGTGTTGGAAGCCGCGAACACGTCGTGGAAACAAAGCGAGCTTTCCAAGAATGCGATGAATGCTGCCACTCAGACCGAGCGAGTAAGTGCCAATGCATAACCGCTGAATTTCGCGATGGTAATTTTACGTTTAACAGGTGACTCCTCGGAACATCTCGGCTGAACGTCTGGCGAACATTGGTCCCTACATTACGTGAGTCATCAAATGAATACTTTTTATCCTACAAGATAATTTACCGAAAAAAATTCATTGTTTTGTCTTGCTGCTTGGAAAGCAGTTTTCGTTTGAAGCAGGTGAGCCTTCTGCAATGTTTGCGAGCCCCTCTTGCATTTTTTAAGCCTAATTTGTGAAATGTACTAGAAGTGCAGTATATGTATTCGACATTCCTTTTTGTTTGCGCTAGTAATTATTCTCACATGTTTTTCGATTCTGTTGCATTGCTTAATAATTATATTGTTCACGGGGTTATTCCTGTGTCAGAGATTTCATTAATCGACTGTTGAATTTCAGTTCTAGCCCTTCGAGCATTCCGGGAGCATCTGGAATCGCAAGGATGTCAGGAGTCATGTCTCCAAGCCGAGGTCGATCACGATCCAGAAACTAGTGGACACTTGGGGTGGTTTGTGTTTTTTTAACTCTTCAAGTTCCCCAACATATGGTGATGTATGTGTTCCGCCAAAAATATTATTAAGATTTATGGATACTTGAGAGAGCACGTTTAATTTTTCGGATGGTTATAAGGCTTGATTAAATGTTATGATGTGATAATCCTTAAAGTTAAAGCTACTCTCCCCATGCATCGAATTTTCATTTTTTGTGATATCTGGAAGAAGTGGGGCAGTCGAGTGCAGGCCAGTGCACTGCATTTGATGTTGAAGTGTGCAATCAGCTGAAACTATCGGAAACTTGACTGCTGTCGAAATCGTCCTCTGGAATGCGCAGTCGCATTTGTCATGAGTTGAGGGTATTCTAGCGATGTTTTGTTTCTGTGGATCTCCGGAAGAGAAGGAAAAATAATTTCTATTACCCTCGTGAAATCCCTTGCCTCGATTTTTTTTTTTTTTTTTGCGCTCAGAAAGATCAGTTATTCCTGGATCATTTTTGAAGCGCTTGAACTTGGCTTGGTGAATGCAGGGGAACGTATTTGGATTCAATGAGAGTCTCATGAGAAGTGATTAAATGGATATAAAGGAAACAGAGAGTGGACAAATTTATGGAATAGCCGATTTTGCAGGCATACTGTTATGCGTGTAGAGCTCCGCACTATTCTTCAGCATAGCGTGAATCGATATCAGAAGTTTTCATTTTCCGCAAAAGCGTTGTGGAATGATCTGCACTTCCGAAATACTATTTTCATTTTCATTTGTTCCATCTTCCTGAGCATGTACCAATTTTTTCCGCGTCTTCGATTTTATTCGCGAGAAAACAGGTTTTTTTATGCCTTCGACCGTACCCCAAGAACGATTTATGCTTTTCCGTGAATACGAGGTAAATCTTGCAGTGTTATTTGTTTTCTTGGTGCTGCAGTTTTTATCCCTTTTTTGCTTGACATGCAACTTTCTTGTGCTGTTCATTGAATGGATCTGGACATTTGAATTCCGAATTTCGTACATTCCATCACAACTTCCGAATTATCTCCCGCTGTGAAACGTGTTGACACGATGTGGCTCTAAGTATAAACAAATTCAACTGTCCGTCTGTGTTTTGCTGTTCACGAGGACTTTTTTTTTTGGCTTTATGCCTGCCGAGAAATAAATTCGGTAGTGTTTTCAGTCGTCTGGATTTCTTCGCTTGATTCCGTTTGTTGGCATTTTGTCTAGGGTATTTTAAAGTGTTCGATTTTTTTTTTTTCGAAGCAGATATGTAACTACTATGAACTTTTGGGACAAAGTGCAGCACGAAATACAGACTTCAGGCACTAGGTTGATCCGCGGTCGAAAATCAAGGAGGGAGTCAACTGAGGATTCTGGGATTGAAACCCCTGGCCAGAAGTCAAGTCCCTCGAAAATAAACATGCCTGCCACTGCCATTGATGATGATCTCGGGCTCGCTGATGAAATTCTGGCGAGTCCGGTTAGAGAAGCTGGACCGAAAACGGGACAGAAGGCTCGTGGAACGTCGGCCGTCGGTCGTGCTGTGAGTTGCCCTATAACTTCCAGAATTCCGCTTAATCATGTAGTGGAAAATGCATTGTAATTCAGTTGAGCATCTTTCAGTCGAATGACAAGGGACCAGTAAAAAAAGTCGACTCGAGAAGATTTTAAATTACGGAAACTACCATTTTTGCCTGAAAAAATGATTGAACGAAGAAATTTATGATCTTATCTGGCCCAGAAGTGCTTCGTAAAGAAGCATTTTGAACTTGAAGGCAAGAGTTAATTTGCCCAATTAATCTTTCAGAATTTTCGAAAAGCATCAAGTTGAATTTTTATTGATCTTTTCCTTGCTGGGTCACAAAATAGAAAGTTTTTTTCAAATAAAAAGCATGAAGTTCTTAGAAAAATTCGAGTTATTTGAGGGGAAAGCCTTCGAGTTATGGAGGTTTTTAAAACATAGTTTCTGAGAGGCTTTGAAAAAAACATTCTCTGTCTGAAGGTATTCGATTTCTTGAGGTTCAAATTATCAAGGTTCAACTGTCTTTGTGTTCCGGCTCTTGATTTTTGTTTGCGGAAGTTGTTTCCCGCAACGTTCGAGATGAACATTTTCTGCCGGCGCCGTACCGTCGTCATCTGATGCTTGATTTTCAGTCCAGATGGCTGGTCGACTATGTTTTTTCGAAAATTTTTCTCGTGTTCGATACGGTCCATGATGATCGTCCGGTAACGTGAGAATTGATGCATTTATTTATTTTTCTTTGCAGGATAGTAATTCGGGTGCCCCACCGAGAGCTCGTAGAACTGGCGGTTGGGCTGAAGATGCTCCCCCGAAGAGTGCAAGGTTCGTGGATTCGGACATTTTCTTTCGAATTTCTCCCAGACTTATTAGAAGTGTTCATATTTGCTCAATCGAAACTTTTTCGTGGAGAAGCAAATTTTTGCTTTGTCTATTATTTCCGAAAGCGTCCTTTTTCGCTTTGGCGCTCGCTGATTTCATTTCATTGCTTTGCGGACTGTAATTGCTGCAGGTTTGGAATAATTTATTTGCTTCTCGCGTTGCCATATAATGTACAGTTTCGGGTCGGTAGGCAGGAAACTTAAGATTCATCGCTTCGTGCCTGTCATGTCCTGATTTTTCCGGAATAGTTTTGGTCAGTGCTGTTGCAATTTGTTAGTTTTTGAAGGTGGAACGCTTTGAGTATTTCGGAATGACGCTGTGAATATCGGTCTATTTTTCAGACGTCGTGGTAGTACCATAAGCATCATGGAAGAGTAAGTTATAGCTTTTAGTTGTGTGCTGTGATCGGGTAGCTTGAGGCACATGCCAGTGATATGCTTGCACTATGAGAGCATGCGTAGTTGATTTTCACGATGATTGCTGGATCGTATTCCAATTCCGTTTCTGATAAATTTTATTCTCACATTCCAGAGAACGGTTTCGAGAAGGAGAGGAAATGTTGAAACATGATTCTGATGACGGTGAGGAACCCGAAGAATTTTGCGTTTCTGGTAGATAATGTTGTTAACGAAATTAATCGTACAGTACTCGGAGAGATTTTGTGCTTTTCGTGCCGATATTTCCATAATCTTGACAACCGGATTGTTTTTGTCTGATGCATGGAGATAGTCATAAGTAATCCTTTTCGGGGTTCGGATGAAAATTTATAATCGGATTTCAGATTATCCGCTGTAAGCTTGTTGCTGAGTTCCATAATCTTGACAACCGGATTGTTTTTGTCTGATGCATGGAGATAGTCATAAGTAATCCTTTTCGGGGTTCGGATGAAAATTTATAATCGGATTTCAGATTATCCGCTGTAAGCTTGTTGCTGAGGGTCCTAGGAATGGTTTCCTACTATATTATCCCACATTGTTCTACCCGAAGGGATTAAACCGTCTGGTCCTTCGCCAGGAGGCTGGGAGGGGGTCCGTTTTTGCTCGGTTCGATCGCTGATTGCCAGGTGCATTGTTAATCATGCTCTGTTTTTTGGGACCTGCATTTACTTCTGCTATAATGTACTCCTAAAAATCGTTGTATTGTTTCTACAGCTCCCCCATGGACTGCAATTATGGCGCCTGGCGCTCATTCCTGAGGCCGGTGCCGAAATCCCTTTTCTTCTTGAATGGTCCAACCCGCTTAATCCGTCTACTGACCACAATGGAAAAAAAAGATAGTAGGAAACCATACCGGACACCGTTGCTGAGAAGGACTGGTAGCCCTCAACCCTAATTTTCTTCGCTACCGGCAATCTTTTCAAAACCACAACAACTCTTATGGCCCACAAGATTTTTACGAAGCTCACGGCGCAACTCCTTTAGGAGAAATAAAAGATCTGCACGGTCGCTAAGGCCTAAACCTACTACACGTTCGACTCCTAAAATCTAGCCAAGTTGCCCTGGCTCCAAGGTTTCTGTCCAAATTTAACTTATACAGTCGAACCTCTTTAAGTTGAACTTCAGGGGTCAGCAAAAAATTCTAGTTGGGGAAACGCGCATTTTTGTTGGGGGGGGTGTTAATTACAGAAAATTGTGATTGGTGATATTCTGGCCTTGAAATTGCTTCTTCAATGAGCTGACAAGATGCAAAAGTTGAAGGCGAGGGGTTTTTGTTGTTGCCAAATGAGTGTTCCATTTTCTTTCAGAACGCATCAAGTTAGATTATTGCTTTTCTATTTCCTGGGCCTTCAGAAAATTCGAGTTGTGGAGGTTTGAAGGGGGATCTTCGAGTTAAAAACTAAGCAATTAAAACCTCTCCAGGTTACTTTAGACAGGGGCTTGGAAATTTCAGCATTAGAAGGTATTTGAGTTTTGGAGGTTCGAGTTATCGAGGTTCAATTGTAGTTGCATTGTAGTTATGTAATAGTCTGAATATACTGTATTCAGTGTTGCGGTGAATCGAGTGGCGACGTTCAAGGAACTTGACAGTGATCTATTTCGTCACGGAGCTTTTGCGACGTTAGACGACATTGATTTGCGAGCGTTGCTGAAGTGCATGGCACCGGAGCCGGAAACGAAAGAAGTTGGTGTTGCATTCCTTTTTTTTTCGTTATCATCTAGTTCTTCACAACTTTCTGTCGTTTTCTCAGTTCGATTCCGAGTGGACGTGGGACGCTCTGTTTACGGAAGTTTCATCTGAAATCTTGAAAGAACAATTGACGATTTTGCCCGAGGATGAGGAGGATAAAAAGCGGGATGATCCGTCAGCTATCTATATTGGATAACTTTGTTTCATCGAACAGATTTGATCTCTTTTTGGCACAAATGATACTGTTCAGATTGCATTTTATTCACTGTGATCTTTGTTGTGGCTACAGTTGGTGTATCCCATGTTGATTTCGAATTGCAAGCGTTTGCGATTGAACCTCTGGCGAATTTTCTTCTCAGCGATTGAAATTCGGGATTGTTACAAGTCGTCAAAATCCTGCATTGTCCATTCTCCCATTTAAAAAGCGCTATGCATCATTCTCGTAATTTTGCAGTGTTAAGTTTGCTCGATCAAGCGAGTTTGCTCTTGAGGAAATCAGTGAGTTCGGCCTTGTCTGCACGATTTTCGCTTTCCCTCTCGGCAAGCTCTTCCTTTAGGACCTCTTCAGACACTTCAGCCAAAGATAATCCCTTTTGGCTCCAAATTTCTTCTCGATAAACACGATCCTTTCGCCTCATGGTTCCGTGGATCTGCAACCCGAAAAATAATTAATTTGAGGTAAGATCAGGTTTTGACGTAAGAAGCCGGGCAAGATTTTATCTTCATTCATGCAACTACGTGATGATTCTTCGCTTATCCGAAGAGTTTGAATGCTATAAAAGGGTTCAAGCGAATTTTGGAACATTTACAGCGTTATTGTCCCTTGGGGCGAAAATTCTGTCAAATATTTCAACTACTGTGTGTAGAGGCATGGAGACATTCCGAAATACTTGGCATTTTCAAGTGCGTATTTCGTATGCATGGGATTTCCCCAAGGGCTCTTCAACAGCTTCAGGCAAAGAAGTGAAAATTACTGCATTGTTAAATACGAGTTTTTTGACGAGTCTCGTAAGAGAAATTCAGACGGTGTCCTGAGTGTTCCGGTTGAGAACTTGCCGTCCCGGTTTCTACTCCATTGCGTGCTTTTGCATTTATTCAATTCTAGTCTGTATATGAGCGTTGAAAACTAATTTATCTCGAGTTTATTGAATTGTTTCAGTTGTTAATCTTTTGCGGAACGGTCTGATGGGAAATCTCGTAGAGAAAACGCCTTCGTCATATTTTCCTGTGGGAAACTAATTTTCAGACCAACGCATCGTTCCTGGCGTTTTCTATGATTGCTCGCAGATGAGCAGGAAAGTAATGGAATTTTCTCCAGCACGAATCCCTGGTCACTTTAATTATTCTTACCCACCAACAAGTTCCCTTCCTCAATACTCTTCGCCCTTCCGCGGGTAAATTCTTGATGAATCCGGGAACGGTTTTCTAGTTCTAGGGGATGATTCATGCATTTTCGTGGCTTTTAGCGAGTTTCTTATCCGTTGTATATTTCAAGCTAGAGATAAGGATTCATTCATATGTGCATAAGGCTATCACTATTCTTTCACGGAGCATCCTGGCGGGGAAGAAAGTTTCATCAGTGCACCCGAACGTGATGCCCTAAGTGCATTCGTTATCAAATAAATTGCGGTGTCGATATGACACTGTTTCAACATCATAAGGTTTGAGGACATCCGCACTCACCACATCCCACAAGTAGAAGTTGAAACCGAAGTTCACGTGGAAGTATTGATGATGATTATCGTGGAAAGTTGTTTCAGGCTGCCATGGCCACATGGACTTCATCCTGATACCGCTGTGATCCAAGATACCGTGGTAGTAAATGTAACCCAAAAGCGTGCAGTACACGGCTGTAAAAAAGTACCGCTGATCAAAAACCGAGAGTCTAACGTTGTTTTCAAAAATGGGAAACGCGCAGTATAAAAAACATTGCTGATTTCGCGGAAGTTACTTGTAAATTTCCTACGATGCGATTTTTAAAATTAATGATCCCCAGGTTCATTTCCACATTCTAACTTGCATTCGATGAGTACATTACTTTAAGCAGACAAAGCAACAAAAAACATTAATAATTCCTTTCATAGAAACGATTCTTCACATAGAAATAAACTTGCGTTCCAGCTTATTTCTTAATAAAAAATTTACAGTAATTTTACGCGCGAAAATAAAGCTCGTCATCTCCCAGATTTCACGGATATTTATGCATTTCTACGCTGCGCCTGCGAGTTTCGTAAACATTATGCAGTCGAACCTCTTCAAGTCGAACGTCAAGGGATCAGCGAACAGCTTTGAGTGAGGGAAACACCCATTTGTGTTAGGAGAAAGAATTACACGAAATTTTAATTAGTAATATCCTAAGCCTCAAATTACTTCTTAAATGAGTTGGCAGGATGCTGAACTTGGGATGCATGGGTTCATTTGCCCATAAAGTCTTTCGTTTCCTTTCAAAACATATCAAGTTACATTTTTATTGCTTTTATCTTTCCTGTGTCAATAAATAATAGCCAAATGGCCTCTGGACAATCCGAGTTATGTAGGTTTGAGGTGAAATGCCTTCAAGTTAGTGAACTGTTTTTAAGGGAATTCAAAAAGGGAATTTTAAAAATTGGCATAGTGAGGTATTCGACTTGGGGATGTTCAGGTTATCGTATTTAAACATTGACTTTGCATATATACAGTACAAATTTGAGAAGGATTAATGCTGTCAAGAATACACATTTTTGGTGAAAGAATGTGGCCTAATAATGATCAGAGAAATATTAGAATGCACCTGGAAAAATGTATCAAGCGTGGATATCGAATCTTGTATAAGGCCGACTGAGAAAATTTGTCAGTTTAAATGGATGCCTCAAGTCTTAAAAAAGAATTTATCGAAATCTGTTGAAAGCAGGCCTATAAAGGCATATGTGTATTTGCATCAGATTATTGTGCATTACAAAAGCATGCAAATGAGACTGTGGCCTCTAATACTCGTAATATTCAGCATAGGTCACCCGTCGGTATTCGGGTGCCCCTTTTAGGGAATCGATCTATTATAAGATAAATTTGAATTTTGAAAAACTCACCCCAGTGACAAGGAATGGTGAAGACGGGGAGTACGTAAAGCGTTTGGAAGAATACGCATTCAACAGGATGAATGGCTGTTACCGAATATGCCGTCGGAACTTTGTAGCTATGATGCAGTTTGTGAAAGTTTTTGTAGAAAAACGGCACATGGAAGAGTCGGTGATTCCAATAGATAGCGTAGTCCTGCAGGAAGGAATGTGACACGGTATTCGTAAGTTTCGAGAGTGTTTTGGAACATTAAGAAAAACCCATGACCCGATCGAATATATATACTTCAAAGATTCTGTCTCATGAACCGTCTGCATATTCATGCAGAAATCCCAATAATGCGAGCCCTACTGAAACGACTCGGATCATGAGCAAGGCACACGCGCGTAAATATCTGCAATTCGTGCTGAACGGAACTCATCTGAAATATTTCCAGATCTATATGATCCACTTATTGTAACCGGATACGGAAATCCTCCCCCAATCAATACGCTTATTGAAAGCGCTTCACACCTGGTAAATACTTCCGCAAGATTTCGTCCGCTGTTTCATCGCGTTGTTTCGGTATGAAGTTCATTTTCTCTGTCTTTATTATGCGACTCACGCGTAAATCTACGGTTGATTTGAAATTGCATAATTTGCAGACGAAATTACATACGAACTATATGTTGGACCTTTCCTCCGAGTTAGCATCTCTTATTCTGGTATCCCGATTATGGGAATCGGATTGCTCTTGACAGAAAGGACGGAATTGGAAATCGTATCGAATTTCACGAGATTGAATTTCGCTAATTTTTGTTCGCTGAAAAATGAAACCTTTTCATGCACAATGAACATCAGCACAATTTTCGTGCACTTTCAAAATACGCCGTCCTCTTAAACATAAGCTCCACAAATCAACAGTATTTTATACATTGCTGATGCATAACCATCCGTCATCGTGATTGGAAAGCCATCATTTACGTATTTATACAGTATTTCAGTGTATTTTCATATTCTTACTACTGTACTTGAAGTAGAAATTTTCCGAATCTTCTAAAGAGTATCTCTTGCGATTTTTCTTGAGATAATTCTTACATGATGATGACCTGGATTCAAGAGATGGAACAATCAATTTTTTGAAAATTTAAGTACTTTACTGTAGTGATAAATCGTGAAGTTTTATCTTGAAAAGATGCTCACCGTCATTCAAGCCTCCAGAGAAAAATTATCTGTTAACTGACTGTGTGAGACCCTGCAAATAACAAGTTCATGGTGTCTAAAAATGCAATTTCCTGTTTCTCGTATGCAGGTAGCATTTTCTCTTTCCGAGCTTTGAATTTTCTTCACAACATTTCTCATTCCTATGAGACAAAAACTGGCATATTTACCTTGAATCGCAGGCATGGCATTCATTTTATTCTTTTTAGTGCATTCTTCGTGATGATAAATTCCATTAATAATTCTTTCGGTTATTTCCTTCAAGCAACTGTGCACGAATTCTCGTGGAAAGTGCACAGATCGGGGACCGTTTATAGAATCAAGTATAACCAGAATTATATGAAATATAAGGAGGTGAATAATTCTCCAGATGAGGATGTAATTTACATGTCATGACTGCTTTCCTGTAATGGATGACAGCAGATGATCATTCCCCGTAATTTGTACGACTGCACCTTTCCGAAATTAAGTAGCGAGTCTCGCATGTCATATTCTCTGCGTTCGTGGGGCAATAAATGTCTTCTTGCGATGTACCTGGAGCAAAAAGATGACTGGCCACTGAAGGAAGAACCAGGTCCATCCGTATTCATCCAGCTGGTAGTAAATCATGGACCAGCCGCCATTGATCACGTGGGCGGAGAGAACTGCCGAGAAGAAATTAGTGATGACCAGAGTTATGCTGCCCCATTTGATTTCGTGTCGCTCGAGTTCCGGCGTGATCCAACGATTCGGCTGACATTTCCATTCGCTTGGAGTCTCTCGCCTCCGGAAATAAAAGTACCACTGAGGATTTGAGAAGGTAATCATCGTTATACAGTAAAATGCAGTATAATTGAGGCTGTTGCGTAAGTCCCAAAAAAATAGCCAATTTCCTGCCCTTCAAGTATTTGTATGAAGCCATACTTTCATGTAAAGTACTGTATTACCCGACTTTTTTCAATTAAAAAATAACTTTACTCATGAAAAAATTACTTACGCAACAGACTCACATATGCAATGGCTTTGTCGTCAGCAAGAATATTTTATTTTCTGTCTTAACAGAAAAAAAAATTATCAGGTTCTCCTGAAGCTTCCTTCAAAGGATTTGAGGTGAAGCGTTGTTCGCTCTACAAGTGGAAACCCTCACAACGATTTTCTCTGTACAGTATAACGAATTTTGGGGGTCCCAGAGGGTTCTCTCCCCATGTTGTTCTCTACAAAGGTTTTTCTCGGTGTTTTCTTGAATTCTGTTGTTGAGAGAGTTCACCTATATTATCTGTTTATTGTCGCATTTCGCTCCCCCCTGAGCATTTTTTTTAAATATATATTTTTAGATGGATTGAAATTCCCGAATTTCGATGTTCTGATTTTCTCTCGTTTCGTGCCGATTCCTTCAAACTGTTTCGGCGTAAAATGCGTTTTTGTGAAATTGTGTTTACCTGCAACCATCCGCCGATCCCGAAGTATCCAAAGAAACCAAACAAGTTTGCCATTAACCAGATCTTTGGAAATCCCTGTAGGTTCCAGCGCTCCAAAAACGACCTTTCGTCCGGTGATCCGTGGACAGATCCCATGTCATTGATGTTAGCCACAGGGTTTTTTGTCCAATACGCAAGCAGAAAGACCCATTCTCCTGAGGATTGAAATGTGAAACCCTCGAATCAGGAAAGGGCTTTGAAACGCTAAAAACTGCATTTCGCAAAACGGAAAATTCTCAGCCTAGATTAGTACAGTTGGACCTCATATCAAGTTTAACTTCCAACAAATCAAAGAACTTTCTAATCGAAATTCCAGTTATTCTTCAGCCAATTATTTCAAGTTTAAACCTCTTTAAAATATTTTTTTGGGTGAGGAGGGGGGGGGGGGGGTCAAACTTTCCGCAGTTGAATTTTGGGGCCTTCTTTTATTCAACTACTGGGTCTAAATGTTGAAACATTTTTTCAAGAAAACAAAAACACATGCAAATCTTATTTTTTTCTCTCCACGAAGGCATCTTTCTGCAATTAATGAACTAATTTGACCACGGAATAATTTACATTGCTCAACGTAACTACACAAACTGAACCAACTTCCGTACGACAAAAACTTTCTAAGTTGATTTTTCGGAATCCCTTTATATTGGACGACGAGCGGTCTAAGTGGATATTAATCTATTATGACTGAATTTTCAGGATGTTTAAAGTGTGCCAATTGAAAACGCGTATGTTTGTTTGTTAGATCAACATGTAATTTACGGAAGAATTTACCTTTGATATGGTTTACATACTCTTTGAGAATAAGTTGGTTCGGGAAAAGAAGACAGTTTCAAATTTTTTAGTGTTAAATGTAAAGTTTTGAATTTGAATTTCGTACACATTTCGTTAATACGTTACGTAAATAAGTTATATCCACACGAATTTCAATTTTGAAACAAATTACAACAGCAGGGGTTGAAACAAGAAAAATAAATTCTCCAATGATGTGAGAACGTTGTTATTATTTGACTTCATCAAATTGCTACTGATTTGTGTCAAGCAGCAGCAGGAAAAGAGGGAGCTCCACATTTATAATTTGTAACTTGAAAATTTATGCTTTTCTTTAAATTTCACCTTTTTGACGAAGTGGATGCATATCACTGACAGCCACTGATGGCACGGATTTTGTATAGTTGCCAAGCTATGCTTGATTTGACAAAAAGTTTGAGGGGTGCATTCCCCAGACCAGAAGAAATACTGTATTACAAATAATTCTGGATAGTTTCGCCTAAATAATACAGGTGGTCGAATAACTGGAATAATAAAATACATCGGTATTGCCTCAAATGACCCAACGTCTTCAAAGACGCCTGGTTGAATATTCGCAGTTTAAAATACAAATCCTTCAAAAATCCACGTGATCAAACAGCATTGGGAAGGGTGAGCAACTGGAAATGTTATACTTCCCACTTCATAGCTCATCTTTTCTTCCCTTGAAGCATTAAGGAGGAGATTTCGCGCTATGGTTGCTATGCCAGACTTGTAAAGAATCGGAATTCCGAACACTCTCAGAATCCCATCCGAGAAGATCTCAACGTGATGGGTTTAGGAATAAGTTTCATCCCGGATGAACGACGGGGAAACAAAGAACGTCGCAAAAAGGATGTGCAGTACTAGGAATTACAGTACATAGAAAGCAGAAAAGCCGAGATAAATGCAAGGAATAATTCTGTAGAAATGAGCCGATCACCTGAAATGGTACAGCCGAGGATGAAAACGACTAAGGAAGCAATATAACGTTTCATGGACGACTTTGTTCCAGACAGTTTCCAGATATTCCTGGTTCCTCTCTCCCCACGTCACCCCTTTCATTGAATCATAATCCCGCGGCCTTTGAGATATTTTTTTCTGTTGCTCAGTTATAGACCCCGGTTGGGAGAACGTTGTTATTATTTGACTTCATCAAATAGCTACTGACTTGTGTCAAGCAACAGCAGGAAAAGAGAGAGATCCACTTTTATCATTTGTGACTTCCAAAGTTATGTTTTTCTTTAAAATCCATGAGTTGGTTCCACCTTTTTGACGAAGTGGATGCATATCACTGACTGCCACTGATGGCACGGATGTTGTATACGGTAGTTGCCAAGCTATGCTTGATTTGAAAAAAAAAGTTTGATAGGTGCATTCCCCAGATCAGAAGAAATACTGTATTACGAATAATTCTGTATAGTTTTGCCTAAATAATACAGGTGGTCGAATAACTGGAATATTACACCTGTATTGTCTCAAATGACCAAAAACGTCTCAAAGGACGCCTCGTTGAATATATTCGCAGTTTAAAACGAAAATCCTTCAAAAATCCACGTGATCAAACAGCATGGGGAAGGGTTAGCAACTGGAAATGTTATACTTTACACTTCATAGCTCATCTTTTCTTCCCGTGAAGCATTAAGGAGGAGATTTTGCGCTATGGTTGCTATGCTAGACTTGAAAAGAATCGGAATTCCAAACACTCTCGGAATCCCATCCGAGAAGATCCCCTCGTGATTGGTTTAAGGATAAGTTTCATCCCGTATGAACGACAGGGAAACAAAGAAGTCGCAGAAAGGATGTACAGTACTAGGAATTATACCTACAGCAGGGAAACTTGAAAAGAATCGGAATTCCAAACACTCAGAATCCCATGCGAGAAGATCTCTTCGTGATTGGTTTAAGGATAAGTTTCATCCCGGATGAACGACAGGGAAACAAAGAAGTCGCGGAAAGGATGTACAGTACTATGAATCATAGTACATAGACATCAGAAAAGCTGAGATAATTGAAAAATAATTCTGTAGAAAGGAGACATAGTGGACTTTCCCATGTCGGCTCCTACTTGTGCTGATTCCTTCGTTATATTGCAAAGTACCTGCGGCCCTGAAACAAGGTCCGTCAAAGGTCTATAAGGACCAAGGCGAGAGGGGTGCAGTGGGGATTCATTGAATCATAATCCCGCGGCCTTTGAGACATTTTTTTTTCTGGTGCTCAGTTATAGACCCCGGTTGCACCCCTGAAAATAATCTTGACTGATCAATTGAGCTCTTCGCAAAACGGCGCGTCCGCAAAACAACACTTCTTTGCGAGGTACTGTAGTTTCCAGAACACGATAGCAACATTAGCAAACGCAAAGCAGGATTGATCTGATCGGAATAGAGAAATTAATGCTGCACTTTTTGCGATGCATTACTGTAACCGAATTATTTACCGGAAACTAACATAAAATCAATACAGCATACTTCCAGTGCTTTCGGATCACGACGCTTTTTCAATGTTTGTGCTCGTATTATTTTTCTCTTGCACTGGCATTTTTTCACTTGCACTTGCATATTTTACACTTTGAAGTGGGCTCCTTTGAGAAACGATGTTAAATTTTCTCTGCAATGAAAATGAGGCGAGAAATAAATGGCAATATAAGGAGGAAAAGTGAGACAATCGGACTCCGGGTTCCTCTTATCAGAAGCATTGAAGCAACTAACTTTTATAGGTTTCATCTAAAAAGAAATGGCTTGAGATCCCATTGGAACAGGAGCGTTCATTGATTTAATTTTTATTATTTTTAAATGATGATTCGAATTTCCGCAGCACTCAGCAATTGCTTGCCCGAATTTCACTGTTCAAGAACTTCACTATACACAATATGAGCAGGATAATCTCACAATGACCTCCATCACTATTATTTTACAACAGCATCCTCTTCTTATATAAGGAAAATCAGGTATAAACTGAAAATAGGTGAACACAACATTCTTCTGGTGAAGATCCTACTGTTTTAGGATAATAGTTTTCTGCAATTTTGCTGCAATTTTACTTGGCTATCCCCATTCCCAGTGAGCGTTCATAAGATGTTCTTACGTACAATTTCCGTAATGGAGATTATTGACCATGATTGCTGCTTCAAATTTTCGTAAGCTATATCGCAGCCAGTAAAAGATTGAAGGATTTGTGTTGAATAGTTTTGCATTTTATTTTGTGGAAGGTTTTGTAGTTTTGAAAATTAGGGCTTCATGACCGTATCTTCAAAAATGTTTCTGGCCAGCGCGTGAAATATATTTGAGATTCATTTATTTTCTCGCTTTTTTTTACTGACTGGATAGTTATGCCATGAAATAATAAAAAGTCACGAAGTAGGCTTACTAATTTTTTAAAATACCAGTATAGGATTTTTTGGGGAGTCACAAACATTGTTTTTTTTTTTTGGAAACCCGTGAGATTTCTGGAAAACTTGGGATAGCATCCTGCTGAAACTTAGTGGCGCAAAGTTGCATAGATACTAAAAAAAATTGTTCCTGGTTCGCAGAGAAATTTTCACAAATTGAATAGTCCTCCAGCCAAAAAGGTTGGGAAACACTGCTCTAACTCAAATCCCGCTACTTTTCATTAATCTCGCGAGATGATCCCACGCGGCTCATCCATAGTTCATATCTTGTTCAGAGCTGCTTCAGATTTTCTGTCTAGTCATCCAGCTCAGAATCTATATCAGTCTCATTCAAACAATCTTTATCAATCTCTAAGTTTGACTGCAGGTGAACTTTTACTTACTGGGACAGGAGCTCAGCTTGCTGAAAATCGCTAGTCCCAATACCCATAGTGTAGACCTCAAGTACAAACAATAGTACGTGCGCTAAAGGTACAAGGGGAAAATGCTATTTATCAGTTTAACTCATATTTCCATGCAGAAAAATTGCGCCATTTGTTACAAAATGATTTAGAATCGTTGATCCGATCAATTTTCGAAGATTTCCTGGAGTAAAATGTCTTCGGTGATTTCAACTTGCTTCCTTCGTTTTGATGGAATAGCAGGGATTTTATCGATGTAAACAGGAAAAAAATAATTTCGCTGCAGTCAAGCGGTTTTACCGTGTTTTGCTTTATGTCAGACAGGTGTCGCCTCAATCTGGAACCCTGCGAAACCAGCAGGTATCATACGCGTACGGCAAAAGGTTCAAGCGGACCCTTACATAATTTAATGTGTGCTTGATAAGAACCTGGTCGAAATCCGAAATGAGGAATGCAGGTCAAGAGGGGAAACTAATTCCGTGTTTTCTGCGCGTTTACGGTACTGTATTGCGAATTTTATCTTGAGAGTTGAGCCACAGACGGATTTTCATGGATGTATATTTGTGGAATCTAATCGTATCTATACCGTGGCATTGACATCACGACGTTGTTCTGAGCGAATGGAAGTTGCCGGGGGGTTATCTGTGCGATTCGAGCTGATTTCCACGCAATATTAATCGCGTTCAACGAGAAAACGAAATTCGACACCTTCTCAAACAAAATTCGAGGGTCAATATACAGTGAGGGAGCTGCGAAACCGGATGCTAATCAAATAATCAATGGTCAAACGAAGTACTACACAAGCTAAGAGGAATCTTGAATAGCAGAACAATCGAAGGGCGAGTCCTCGATTTTATATGGGCAAAGAAAGGGATTTGCAAGTCATCAGCGGAGTTTCAGTATTATTGTTACGGAGTTCCGATCAGAGAAAATAGTTCGTTCTGCGAGAACAACCTTCGAGAGAAAAAAATGTTTATTTTGAAGCAAAGTTTGGTTTTACTTACCGGATATGCGTTACACTTCGTTTTGATCCGGATAATTTAATTTACAATAGATGTACAGTACGTATACATAGTACATTACATGCATGATGCCTAAAATTTTTGGCATTTTTACTCCTGATAAGTGAAACTTCTGTGTCACATGTGTGGCCTATATTAATTGACATTATGTGGTATCTGAAAAATCACGGAGAATTTACAGAAGTGAGGTACGAACCATTGAAAAACAACTCCTCTTTCTATCTTCTGAAGGTCTTCCAAGTACCGCTTTGGTTCTATTATTCAGACCAAAACTTCGAAGAAAGTTTGTTTTATACACTTCTGACACAGCGCTTCCCTTCAGAGTAAACTTTGATTTTGCCGCATTGTTGGGAACTATTCCCGTTTTATTCCAAGAAATATGTACATTACTGTCCAAAATCAGGATGCGGCCTAGAATTGGCTGAATGGTACCGCTTCAAAGTTTTGTGAGTCATTAAAATAAAACTCCAAGCACTATATTTATTTCTGCTGATGCAAGAGGTAAAACCCCATCCATATATATTAAGCATTGATTTCTCATCTGGTTGAACCCTGATGGCTTTTCCTCACTTATATGCTCGGGAATTTTTCCTAAACGCGAGTTTCAAATAATCTGATATTGTCGTATTGAAACACAGTGCAGTCAGAAATTGTTCGTTTTATAAAAAAAAAATGCATCACGACGATGGAAGCCCCAGGGTATAAAGAACTAATCATAGTAACGAATGAGATAATTAAAGAAAAAATACTCTATGGTGGAGGGCTTTCATTAATGATCTCGGACATCAGTGACAAGGTAAACAGGTGCAATAAATATTGCTTCCCTCCAAGGTTTTCGCTCATTACTCGCAGAAAATTGCGCGTCTTGGATGATTTGAATCGCACTTAACCTCTGGGATAATAAACCAAATCAAGTTTTCCGTGTGAGAGGCGTGGGGTGAATGAGCATGATGTGTCAAAACAGCGAGTGCAAAATTAGCCTGTGCCAAAATATTAAAGGTGTGCAACAATGCAAGCTCGGAGAAGTCCAGTATCTAAAGTTTTTGATTGAAAAGCCCCAAAAAGAGTCTTCATTATTAATGGTAATTTTATCCATAAAAATAGAAGACCTTATTCGAAAATGATCCACAACCAAACCAACCTTCATGGTAACAGCATTATCGTTCTTTTTTTAATTCATTATTTTGGCGCGCAATCTCGCTGGACGCGCTGATTTGTAGACGCTTCCGATAATCTTTGATCAATATCCTGATTTGTTGTCAATCGAAGTTCAAATGCATTATTATATCGTGAAAAGGCGATCGAAAAGTTACTCTTCCATGTCTACGCCAAAAAAGCTGCTCCCGAAAATTTTAAATTCAGTACTCTGTCCTCCCGAGATTTTCTGACTTCGTTTGATTGAAATTATACGCCTTCCTGTATTGTTATGTGTTTATTTCAGCAGTGGAACCTGGCGTGATTGTGCTGCTGCGACAGCGTCCTTCACGCCCTTAATCGCACGTGATTCTCAATTTTTCCCGTGACGGCTTCAGTGATATGCTGAAACCTTTTAGTTGTGGCCAGACTCTCGCCTTTAGTTTCCGTTCAGTTTACGCGGAGAACGCAACGCTCCCGGTTCTTTCTCGCCCAAGTTACCCTTGAAGCATGAAAGTTGTCGAATACACACGCTTTCATTTCATTTTCTGTCTATAAAGAATTGAATGTATAAGGTCAGTCAATTGACTCAATTAAAAATTATCGTGCTTCGTGCAATCTTGTGACTGTCGGCACGGCTTTTTATAGTCGACCTTGGAATGAAAATCGTGGAACGTTTTGAATCCAAGCGTGCTTTCAAGAAATGAAACCTTCGCCTTAACCAAATTAAGACTCATTTCCCTGGAACATGAAAAATCAAGGGTTTTAAACTGGGTCTCAACTAGTTTTGAAAACAATAAAGGAAAGGAATCATGGCTTGAAAACCCTTGCCTTATTTTACTTCAGGTAAAAAATTCATCATACATCAATGACTCAAGTTAAGGACAAGGCAGTATATTCAACTTGAAGTAGTCTTAATAAAAGTCACATAAAGCTATAAACAAGTGCAGTAATTGAACCGGTATTGAAGTGCATTTGCAAAAGATAACCATATATATGAGTTCAGAAAAATGCTCGAAATTCTGTAGTGAAAACAATTTGGTTATTCATACGAGGCCCAGAGAAGCGTGGTTGGAAAATCAATTGAAACTCTTGTGAATTTTCTCAAGCTGAAAGCGTTTATACGTACATTACTTTGGATTATGGATTGTTTTCCAGCTGTGTGGGTATATAAGCGTCGATGAGTGACTCATTGTCGCTATTCCTGAAGTTCCAAGGCGATTTTTTTTTGCGTGCAAAAAACGTTCTTAATCATTTTTTGCATGCAAGCATCAAGGACAAAACGCTTCTTTCGGTCAATCTGCAA